GGCAAGAATTCTTAACAGAGTGCACGTCGATCCATGACTTAGTAACGGTGCAGGAGGAGAGCACCATGCTCATCTGGTGGCTCCGCTAGGGAAAGTGTGCCAAAGGCGGCCTGGCATGGTTTCGACTCCCTGCTATTTCTTGTTTGATGCGTATGTATTTATTCCAATCTACATGTGTTGAAGTGAATTGAAGTGGAATTAAACTAAGTTCCATTCCATTTCACTCTAACACATGTGGATTGAGGTGAATACACATGTATACAAACAAGGCGGTGCATGATCTGGAAGGAAAGGAATGCAAGGACGCTCGGCGGCTCAAGTGTCTCGCCTACGGAACTACTGATCGTTCATGAGGTGAATGTTTGATTCTCTTATATGTTTGATTTGATCGTGTTTCGGCGCTAGTCTTTTTTGGTCGGGTCGTCGCACACATATTTTGTGTAATACTAACCTATGTTCTCTTTTATAAGGCGTACGCACATATCAAGACTTAAGCTTTAAAAACTTTGACAAACACAATTAGACTAATAATTTTTAACTTTTACTAGATATATACCCGTGCGTTGCATGGGACTACGGATTGAATGACAATCAGTTTATGTTTATTTTTTTTATAGATCCGCATACATGTACGTATATGAGCGTATTCCTTCAATTATATTTTGTAAGTTAAAGTTTAGTCACTTTGACATCACATGTCCTCACGTCCGCATGGCCATGCATGGACGTCGGTCACCACGCATCAAGTCACCGGCGCTTGGTAATTGCCGATCTTGTAGCTGGAGGTCTCATGTTGCTAGCTAGAGGCCACCACGCACTGTAGCTCGGAAGTCTAAATGGCTGCAGACTGCAGTCGCACCTGTGCGAGGTCATTCCTCCCCTATCCCCTCACAGACCCCTGCACAGCTGCGAGATTGCTCCTTTTGGTGCCCTTCCAAAGGATTTCCCCTCGCGTGCATGGCCGGAGGCGGCGGGATGTGACGAAGGACGGGGCGACCCCATCGAGCGGGGTCGGGGTGAAGCCGTGCGCAGACGCCGCCGCACGCTGGGTCATGCTTGTAACTAGGCGACGGGAGGTTGTCGATGCACAACAATCGGTGCTCGCTGGACAGCCGGTGGAAGTGGAACCCAGACACCACGACGAAAATGCATGGCTCGGGCATCAGCGACGACAGGGTAGCCCAATGCCGCGCACCCCCGGGTTGCAGATCAGAAATCGCTTCTGTCTTAACGCGAACAGCAGGAGACCGTCACGGGAGTCGACGAGATGCAATATCCCATCGAAGCGCATGGAGCGCCAGCAGCCCGTGTCGTGACCGTTGAGACGGTCCATGCGGTAAGATCTCGGAGCATATTCCCATCTTGTAGCCGTCCGGATAGCCGAGGAGCTCCCACGGCTGCCGGCGGGAGTAGGCAGGGAGGAAAGTGGGACGTTGCGTCGCCGGTGCTTGATGATCCCGTACACTCCGTATGTGCCTTTTGGAATTTAGTTAAACCGATGAGCCTAGCCCGTACATGCCTTTTGAATTATAAATAATGTGAGGCTGCTAACCGTTTCTGACGCGAACTCAGAATTGGCTTCGACACGGACTCTGTACATGTTTGTGGACTCGAGTATACGTATTTGCAGCCTGTTCGCTTGCTCGTATACGATTGTGGATTATAAGTTGGAACAGTATTTTTCTCTCACACCAAACCAGCTAGCAGTAAATAATCCACGATTGTTTACGGCCTGCCGAACAGGCTGTTGGTAGTTTTTGTGGACGAGTAGAGTTTTTTTTAGGTGTAGAGATCTACAATAACAAACTTTATATGGTTAGATTTATAATAAGAAATTGTATAAGCATAAACAATACTCCCTTCATATAGGTTTCCGTGGAAAATAAATATAAAATATAAAATATTGAACATACCTGGCTGTGGGCCTCCGGTGATCCATGGGCCAAGAGGTTTGGGCCAACTAACAAACAGGGGAAAGGCGGCGCCGCGGTAGTTATTTCCCTCTCCCTCCCTCCCTCGCTTGAACGGCCATTCAATTCAAGAACTCGGCTTCGTCTTTAAGAACTCGCGAGCGCTCCTCTCTCCTCTGGCTCGGCTGCCCCGACTCCGGCCACCGTCCCCGCCTTCCTCCGCCGGCCGGTCCATGCGCGCGAGCTCTTTAAGTCGTCGTTGTCTCAACTACATCCACGAGTCAGATCCGCCACCGATCGACCCGGCGGACGCGTCGTCATCCGGCCACCTCTGCCTCCCACCACCAGCCTCCGCTTCCGGCACCCGCCTCTCATTTCTTGAGTTCTTGATCGATCGGAGTTTCTTTACGTATTGACTTCTTGATCGATCGGGGTTTCTTTACGTATTGGCTTGTTGCTTAGAGCCTGATTTGTCCGTCATTTCTTGAGTTCTTAATCATTCTTCTTCTTGGTAATGTTGTGTTAATAAATTAATATCTTGGGCTCGTGAGAGGATCCACTACTAGGTAGGTACAGTATGTTTAATATCTGCAATTCCGCACCATTTTTTATATGGCATACACGTGATATCTCCATCCATGGAATTTTAAAATTTTCATCTATCTGAATAAATTCGATCGACGACCTTATTCAATTTTAAAATTGTCATCTATCTGAATAAATTCGATCGACCTTCTTGAATTTTATAAACTTATGGTGTTTTGGAGGAGAATTGAGTACCTAAGGCATAATGATCTAGACATCTACAAGATTATGTTGCACCTCATGTCGCCGTACCATGGTTGGAATTCACTAGTTATGCCCTACCAAATCTTGATCCTAGGTAAACCCGTCAGAGCCTATGTAAAAGTTGAATATTGTATATTTTAGTTTACTTTGTCGTGTACCTAGAGCTAGAGCGACCGAACAGGAGAGATGAGAGGAATGAGATTGAACACAAAGAATAGAATTGAGTGGCCATGAGGCCTCCCCACCTTGCCCCCACTTTTATAAGAGGAGATGGTTGGAGGAGTTTTCATTTCTTGCCCCTGCGGGGCTTGTGATTACCAATAAGTTCCCACAAATTACAACCGGTCTATAAACACTCGCAATTAAGCCCTTAGGTCTAATAATTGGGCACAAAAGGGGTTCTCTACATATGCCACACTCCAAATAGTAGCCCCTCAGCTATTCGGTTTTGACAGGAACATAACAACGAGACCTAGTAGCTAAAAACAACTAAATGCAGCCCAAATACAACTCAAACTTGGCTGCAAGGATCCCTTTTTAACTCCATATGTGCGCCTCACTAAAAACTTCATCTCAAAAACCTTGTGGGAAAAAAGCAGTATGGAGAAAAGAGCATGCACACGACTCTAGTACATAAAAACGTCGTCATGGGGCACTTTCTTCTTCAATTTATCCTCATCATTTAACTTTTCTTGAACCTTTGTGATTCCACCTTTGATAGCCTCCTCCGCATGGCCATGAGCCCTCGATAGCTTCACCTCATAATTGAGCCTTTGCCGAGGTAGTCAATGTGGTCAAAGTAGGCGAGGTAGGCATAATGTCTTCAAACTTTCGCTCATGATTGCCAGGCAAGGTGTCACACCCCTAAATTTGTCATTTTGGGTTGTGATTGAAAAGACTAAACTAAATTGATGGTTTTATAGTTTTCTCTAAAATTTTGAGATCTAGTTAACTTGTTGACAATCGGATACAATGAAAAAAAATTGTGAATTTATAAAATATTTTTAGAATATAATTTAAATTGTTGTTATAATTTATAAAATATAATTTAAACTAATTTGATTTGAAAAACAATATATATATATATATATATATATTAAAAATCTCGGTTACGCCTTGAATAGGTTTTGTTCTATTCTCAAAAGTCATGTTTCAAACTTTTCTTAAAGAGAAGAATATGTATAAAAAATATTTCTAAATTTGCTTTCAAAAATAAAAAAATTTAAATATAGTTTAATAATCTACTTTTAGTTTTTTTTTAAAGTGTTTTAAATGTCAATCCCTTGTACGGACAAAATTCTTTCGATCTCAAGTCAAATATCTCTTTATAGTTTATATCCCAATTTCTTTATACATCTCATACGTGGTCAATTTGGGCTCAATAACAATTCCTACCTATTTTGCTTTCTTTTTAATCTTTCGGCCCTATTGCTTTGGACGTAATTAACGATAAAGCCTTGCATGAATCAGCAGCCCAACATATCCACACGGTTATATAACATGGATTATTTATTGGTAAAGACTTCTTCCTAAGCTATATTACGGTCGGCCGTAATTTAGCTGCTTCCTTATTTATTTGATCAAGCTGCATCCGTCTCCGTTGGCTCAGTCTGGAAAAGCTCAGCAGCAGAGCGATCAGCCCAACAAGCTAGGCACCTGCTCCTCTCCTTTCCTGGCGAGGACAGTTCCATGCATGGTGACTTAAATTTTCCTATTTTAGATTTTACATGGGTGGAGCTTTACACATTTGATGACCCATAAAAAACATAGGTGTTTGCTATAAAAAAAACAGCACGTCTCCGGTTTTTTTTCCCGTATTTGTTACTCCTTAGTTGAGTTGTTTCCTTGTTTTCGTTTCCACGTCATCTATCCGCGTCCGACTCTCATACAACAGAAAATAAAATCAATCACCCGTTATTCAGTCCCGATTCTATTCTATAAATCAAATAGACCAATACCCGACAGAGTTGAGTTCTTGGTAGACAAATATTGTTAGGTCTCCCGGCGCCGCAGTCATCATGCCTTGTAAACGCCGGGGACAGGACGACCGAAACCAACACGCCACCGCCGCCGGCGGCAGCCGGGGAAAGAGGTCGCGCGCGGTGGAATCGGCAGCACCTCTATCTGGTCTTGGATGACTGGGACAAGGGATTCACCCTCCACAAGATCGATGCCGACAGCTTCGATTCCGGCTCCGACGACGATGACCACCAGGGTCAGGGTGTGGTTGCTCCGCACCTCCCAGAACCTCCGGCCCTGCGGGTCGAGTCACCATCTGGCCGTAACCAGGCCGATACCGGCATGACGTTCTCGGCCATGGGCACAAAGATCTTCGTCTTCATGAACCGGCGCTGCGGCCTCGTCTACGACACCGACACGGCCGTGCTGGCCGTCGGCGCGCACGCCCCTGCCAAGATGGTCTGTGGCTTCGGCATCTCCGTTCCCGTCGGCGACGTGCTCTATCTATTAACATACCGATACTTCGACAAGCACGGGCACCACTCGTTCGAGGCAATGTCGTGGGCGCCCACCGGAACCGCCCCCGACGACGCCGGCAGCTGGTCCTGGAACACTCTGCCGGCGCCGCCGCCCACGTTCACACCCGCCAGCGCGTCGTCTCCCACGCCCTGCACCCGGACGGCCGCACCATCTTCATGACCACGAGTAACAAGGACACTCCCGGCGCTCCGCTGGGCACCTACTCGTTCGACACTCAGGAGGCTGCTTGGAGGTGGCACGGGGAGTGCGCCTTGCCGTTCGTCGGCCAAGGTCACTTCGACGCCGAGCTCGGCACGTGGGTCGGCCTTCACCGGGAGGGATACGTGTGCTCCTGCCAAGCTGTCTCCACCGACTTCGTTAGCACGAGGCCTCTCGTAAAACGCTTTGGGTACGTAGATCCAAACGTGTACTTGGATTGCCAGACCACCAAGGAGAAACTGTTCCGCAAGGATCTCGAGACGTCCATGGGAGCCACTCTCACTTCTATGGGGTCATCTAGATTTTGTCTTGTCGAGTGCGTGGCGTCGAAGAAAGTGGGAGATTCTGATGGACGTGTGCTTCACTTGACCATGTTTGGTCTCAAGTATAATGACGAGAGCTCCAAACCACAGATCACCGGTCCACACGCTCCTTCATAGTGTCTAGGCATAGGGGTCACTTTCGTCCTTTTGCATTCTGGATGTAGAAGCAACATGTTTAGATTGCTGCAATTTGTGCTGTGCCTCCTGAGTCCCCTCGTTCCTGTCGCGGCTTGTCCTGTTGCAATGACGAATCTAATAGATAGTTTTTTATTGCTGGGGAAGTTGTGCTGATCTATGTGTGTTTTCTCATTTGCAGGAGTATAGAGTTATTGATGTTTTAATGATCCTACTACTGAAATGTATATTGTGTTGGAAGATGCCTATGGTAACATGTCCTAGCATTTGAGATGTGATACTCTTGCTTTTAGAAAGCATGCAAAATTTAGCTAGCCATTGGACTTCATATCTTCATAATTAGTTACATTGGATATATTATGCAAAATTTAGCTAGCCATTGTACTGATTTAATACCATCAGATTTTCTGAAGCGTTGGCATATATGGTTAGAAATTATTCATCTTAATTGTTTTGAGGACATAGAAGTGCCACCTTGTGGACGCCTTGCCGCCGGGCAGGCGGGCAGGGCCGTGGCAGGTGGTGAAATGACAGTGCGTCTTGTGCGATCTTGTGCCATAATACACATAATTGTTTTCTCTCGCTACGGTGGAGCGAGGTGATTACGCCGTTGGTCTTGGTCCATCTCCTGGATTCCTCCGGCTCTCTTCCTCCCGTTGTAGGCATATAAGAGCGTCCTCCGTCGGTCCTTCATAATTAGAGAAACCACATCTGTCGTAGCCATGGCTTCCGATCTGCATTGTAGCGCGCGGATAGCGGGAGAAGCGAAACCCTTGTTACGCTTTGAGAACCTTGCACAGGGTGAATGGCGATATCTTCATAGTTCGTCCCACGTCGTCCTCTTCTGGTGGTGATCATGAACCCGTCTTCTTCGGTGATTCCGTCTTTTTTATTGAGCATGGACCATCGGTTTAGTGATTGGAATGGAGCCTTGCCCTCGACATGAAGCTGGGTACATTCTTATCTTTATAATTACCAACGTATGTCTCTGATGCATCTTGCAGTTCTGTATACACCTATACTCTACAAACCTTCTTTGATGTTATATGAATTAAATTGATCATGAAAATGCCTAATACTCTAACAATTCAAAAACCTAATCTTACCTTTGATTTTTCTTCTTTGCTTTGAAGCAAATAATTTTGATGAATTTCATAGTACCAAGATTTGGTTGACTACGATGAGTCGCAGTTTAGCTGTTAACTAACTATTGCACCGTGATTAGTGGACTTTATCCTAAAAGGAAAACAACTACATATTCGGGCAAAAGAGTTTTCTTTGGTAGCAAGTTGTGCCCGGGTTGTATTTGCTACAAAATGGTTGAAAACCATAAGGCGTCGAACAAGCTCATGAGATTAGCAAAGGAACTAGAACATTTTCCATATTTCCATACGCGGGTTTGTGGCCGCGACGGTATAATGGCGCTAAAGCGCCACCTTCTTGGAGGATTTTGCTACTTCTCTAAAACACAAGAGACAAGAGTTTAGCGTGGCTAAGCTTATTAGATCTCTTGATATTGAGGGAGATGGTCAAAAAGACAACCGTGGAAAGGGAGTTAATCAAATGGTGCGGAGAAGAAAAAAGAAGAACATGCAAAGAGAACCATGCAAAGCTAAGCCTGCAGTTTAAGAAAAAAAACAACAAGAAAGGTGGATGTTACTTTGTTTGCGGGAGTGATGAGCATTGGGCAAGTCATTTTGGCCCAGTAAATATAAGCAAGGCCAGCAAGCGTGGTGATTAAGCGAGATTAGAGGAGGAACATCTGGGTATGGTAATTATTTACCTTTTGTTCCTTTTAGTTTGTCTTTCACACTGAGTGGTGGATGGACAGCCGTGGTGTTAATATTCATGTCTTGTCTTTGATGTTTCTTTGTTTACTTCCTATTTGGAATGGAGCCTTGCTGATGGGAAGCGGTTCGCATGCACGTGTTCTTGGTCTTTGTCTGCGGTCATTACGAAGTTTACTTGGGAAAAGGCGGTGCTATTAAAGAACATGACATGTCCTCTCCATCAAGAAGAATCTTGTTAGCGGTTCTCGGATGTGTCGCGATGGCTTTAAAATTGTGCTTGGAGCCAATAAGTGTGTTGTGTTGAGACCATTTGTTGGAAAAGTTTATGATTGCACTTGTTCCGAATCATTGATGATGTGTGTAATAAAGTAGTGAACAATGTTAATGTTTGGGATGAGTCGAATATATGGCATTCATGACTTTGTCACTCCACATGACTTGCAAATCTAAATTTAATCCCAAAATTTAACTTAGTCAAAGATTCTAAGTGCCAAGTGCTCAGCTGCGCATGCCCTCTGAGGCGAACTTGACACCATTAGAACTTCGTTCAATCGATTTATGCGAAATGAATAGTGAATTAACTAAAAGGCGGTAGAGCGATACTTTATGACATTTATAGATGATTGTACATACGTGTATTTATTGGAAACTAAAGATGAAGCGTTGCATTATTTTAAAGTCTATAAAATTGAGGTAGAAAAAGCGACTTGAGAAGAAAATCAAGCGTTTTGATCCGATCATGAGGAGAATATTTCTCAAATGAATTTTCGAGGTTTTCGTGGTGCATGGAATTATTCATGAGTGGACACCCATCATACTCACCACAGTCAATGCAGAGAAAGAACCATATGTTTGCCATGTTAGAGCTGCGGGACTATCTAAGGAATGGTGAGGTGAGGCTATATGTTCATGTCACGAATAGAGTGCCCACAAAGAACAAAAGAAATTACACCATTCGAGGAATATTAAATCTCTCTTACCTACGAACTTGGGGTTGTTTGGCAAAAATGTGCCAATAAACAAAAACAAAAGTTTGGACCAAAAGGTACATTGATGCTATTCACAGCGGAGTTATAGTAGTGTTCTGAGATGGCTGTTGATACAATCATGAAATCTAGAGGCGCTACATTTTTTGAGAATGAATTTCCCAGATTGGTCATGAATTTATAATGTTTCCGATAGAACTAAAGTATATGCAAAATCTGAGGGAGGATGACACTATAGTCACTAGAAAGAGTAAGAGACGGAGAATTGCCAAAGTCTTTTGGTGATGACTATATGTGTGTACTTTGTGGATGACACACCAACAACCATTGAAGAGGCATAATCCTCTTCTAATCTTTTGACTTATGGAAGGAAGATGCAGATGAGATGAGTGTTATGTCTAATGGAACTTGGGAAATAGTTGATCATCCCTATGGGTGCAAGCCTATAGGGTGCAAATAGTGTTCAAAGAAAAAATTTAGGCACGATGGTACTATACCGAGAGGTACAAGGCAAGGCTTGTGGCCAAGGGTTATACTCAAAAGGAAGGTGAGAATTTCTTTGATACTTATTCACCGGTTGCCCGATTGACCACAATTCAAGTTTGCTTTCCCTAACAGCCTATTATGGTCTCATCGTTCATCAAATGGGCGTTAAGACAGACTTTCTAAGCGGAGAGTTAGAGGAGAAGATCTCTATGGATGTCGGATGGGTTTTGTAGCAAATGGTCAAGAAGGCAAAGTGTGTAAATTATTAAAGTCATTATATAGCCTAAAACAAGCTCCTAGCGTTGGCATGAGAAGTTGACGATGAACTCTAACATCTATTTGGCTTTGTTGTGAATGAAGGTGATAAAGTGTACTATCGGTATGGTGGGGGTTTACTGTGCTTATATGTTGATGAAGATGTTGGATCCGACCTCAAAGTGATTGAGGGAGGTGAAGAATTTTTATCTAATAATTTTGAGATGAAAGATTTGGGAGAGGTGATGTTATCTTAATATCAAGCTTACGAGAGAAGGTGATGGTGGGGTGACTCTATTACAATCCCACTATGTGGAAAATGTCGCTTTGGGTTTAGTATTTGTGGAAATGAGTATGCTATTGAAAAATCGGAGAATAGCGAGGATCAGTTGAGAATATTCCCAGATCATTGGTTGGCTCATGTATCTTGCTAGTACAACAAGGCACGACAGATGCTATGTGTAAAAGTGAGGCGGTTTGTGTCAAGGCAGAGAGATGATCCTTTGGCGTGCTCTCAGTGATACGCTATCTAAAGAGGCACTATGAGCTATAGTATTCATTATCTGGGACACCAAAAGGTGTTGGAAGGCTATTGTGATGCCAACTAGATCTACGATCTTTGATGAGCTTTATGCCACAAGTGGATATGTGTTTTTAAGCTTAGAGGTGGTCTTTGTTTCCTAGAAGTCTTGCAAGCAGACTATCTTAATGAGTCTACAATGGGCGAACTCACGACATTGAACGTTACCGGCAGCTCTGAGGCCGATTGGCCGTGATCTCCTTATGGATTTATCGGTTGTTGAAAACCCCATACCAGCTATTTCTATAGCTGCGATAACCAAACTATGATTACAAAGTTTAGCAGTTCTAAGGACAACATAAGTCCACAAGACATGAGAGAGGCGACTAAAATCATCAGAAAATTGAAACTCGAGTAATAGCGTTGGACTATGTTCACACGTCTAACAATCTGACAGTCCCAGTTC